TATAAACCAAACAGACTGTGCCGACTACTTTTCACAAGTGTCAGATGATGACAAGGAGCAAGAACAACATTTACCCACATCAATCTGACATGAGATAAAAGGAAAAGCAACCAGTATTTTCTCTATTTCAAGGTTTTAAATTATTTTCTGCATTCTCCCTGTGACAGAGCTAGCTCCTAATAAGCACAAGAGCTCTCCTCTCTTCATCAGTCTATTTTAATGTAGACTGAGTTTCCCCAGTCAGGAGGGTTAGCGTTAAGAGTCAGGATCTGAGCATCTGGGTTCCTGATGGCTGGTTGTGCAAGGAAGACTTTCCATTGAAATAGGCTCTTTACTCAGGTGCAGGACACCGACTGTGCCCTCAAGGTAAGGACCAGGGCTTAGAATACACTCTTGAACTTGTTGACAAATTCTCTGGGGGACATTTATTATAGCATTTGCCTCTCCGTGCCCTCCTGGGCCTTGGGTCATGATCACTAAGAACTGAGCTGAAGTTGACAGCCTTGGGTGGAGAACTGAAACAGGATTTCAGTCAAGATCTTCAGAAGCCCTGGAAGTCTCAGTGACCAGATCTGCCACAACTGGAGAGCCAAGGTGTCCTTTGTGGGTTCAAATGTTACACGAAGTTTCCTGTCAAGCTACTTATTTCCTGATTTTGTAACTTCCCGCTACCTTGTTCTTCTTTTGTATTTGGACAAACAGGAAACCAAATCACCTCACTCTGGGTCACAATCTCATCTGAATCTTCCCAGTGTTTCCAGGTGTCTTAATTAACTCTTCTCTTGTTGCTGGAACAAATACCCAACACACAAATTGAAGGAAGGAAAGGTATATTTAGATCATAGTCACTGGAGGTTTCAGTCCATACTCAGCTGGCTCCAAGGCAGCCTGGTACATGGCAGAGAGCAAGTCTTCATGGTGGTGGCAAAGAGCAAGAGCACAAGGGAGGGGTAGCAGCAGCTCAAGCAGCTGGCTTCTCTTCCCACACCAGGGTAGGTACAGCATCTACACCCACAATAATCAATCACAAACTCCAGAAGCCTCCCCATGACTGCATGAGGCTTTGGGGGGGGGGGACACCTAGACACAAACCATAACACCAGGTAAAGGCACAGTCATGCTTGTGAATGACTCCTTTACACACCTCCTCTTGACCCTTCTTCAAGCTTCTACTCTATGCAGCTCTGAAGACCATGTCACTCACCTCTTCCTCTCAATCCACACCATCAGAACAGCTGACCACTTCACCAGGGTGGGTCCAGTTCTTCATATGAAGACCACATCACTTATGGGGAAACTCCACAGGGCACTCCAGGTGGGCTCAGAGAAAGCAGACTCACTGGCCCTTCAACTAGAGGCAAATGCTATAATAAATCTCCCCCAGAGAATTTGTCAACAAGTTCAAGAGTGTATTCCAAGAGAAATTCAAGGCACTGGGAAATGTTGCCTCATCACCCAACACTGGCAAACACACACACCCCCTAACCACCGCCACCATCACCACCACCACCACCACCACCACCACCACCACCACCACCACCATTACTCCAAGGTGTAGTGTTCTCGAATTGTCTTCTCATTTCTACCCCTCATTGTTGAGTGACACAGGAGATGTGGACTACTGAACCTGGAACACTTCCCATCTTGTCTTCCCTGGGTTATATTATATTTGGGCCCCCGACTCACCTTACACTATGCACTGGAGAAAATAGGAAGATGCTATGGTGCCACGGGGAAGTGTATGATGTTTGTTTCTGTATCACAGAGTATGTTTCCCACCACTGATTTAGGTGGAAACCTTAACTTTGAGGAATGGGTGACAATGTGCTTCAGTAGAACTGAGATTTTACTCTCTGGGCCTTCCATGTCCTGTAACTAGATCCCATACTGGTTTAGTTTTAGGTCCCAGCCTTAACATTTAGCTCGCTGTTAATCATTCTTACTAATATGTTGCTGATACATTTTAGTAACAATTTTATGGCTGGTAATTGAGGCTTCGGGGAATAAGAATGCAAATCCCTGAATTACCTTGCTCGTTTGCATTTTAACACAATTAAAATCTAGGACTGACAAAAAACCAGTGAGTCATCTTGTTGGAAGCCAAGTGGTGTTTTGTTAGTGGTGGGGAGAGGTTGCTCCTCCTGAAATCCTGGGGAACTGGCCACCCTCCCTTTTCTTATGCATGAAGCATGCCTGGTTTCTCTAAAGAACTGTGTCTACATCTCAGAATTGGATTCCTTTCTTCATCCCAGGCACCAGGAATCTAAGGCACAGAGGATCTTAGAGGGTTGAAGAGTCTCTGTTGGATCCGTGTAGTGCCTGGCTGCTTTGCATAGTGGACAAGGACCCTAAACCAGCATTTGTCTCCTAGGGCACAAGGTTCCCCACCCACATTCTCAGAGCACAGTGGAGCACAGTGGTTTGTGGCATCAGAACTGATCCAGCTCTTGGAAACAGAGGACTCCAGAGTTCAACCGCCTGTTCAAATTACACCAACCCTAACTATATTCCTCCTTTCACTGCTAAAACGTTTTTAGCTAGTACCAGTGTTCTTAACCTGTTTTTGTGGTTTTGGATTCTTTTGAGAAAGCCATGGAAGAGTGACACTTAGTGCTTAACCTTCAAAATGCTACATTCAACTTCAATTCAGTTAGATTGATGTATGGACCGGCCATGTTTTTGTTTTTTAATTTTATTTATTTTTTTGTGAGTACCTGTTTGCAGTTTGTAATGAGTGCACACCGTGTAGGGAGTTGGTAAGTGTGTGTGACACATCTTCATTCTTCTTCATTCCCCCACCCTCCCTCCTTCTCTTCATCCTCTTCCCATTTGGAAAAGATCTGTCTCCCAAGTTCCTATTCTGTATCTTTTATCTTGCTCCTTATTCCTATTTTTGAACCTCTCAAATAAAAGAAGTCATGCAATCTTCAAGTGTGTGGGTCTGATTTATTCCCTGTAGCATTATGGTCTCAGATGCACCCATTTTCCTACAAAGGACTCAAGTGTATCTTTTTTTATCACAGAGTTGGACTCATTGTGTATAAATCCCACATTCTCTGTATTCATTCATCTGTGCATGTACATGTAGGCTGCCCTCAAGAAGTTGGTTGTGCTGCTATGGACATATGCACACATGCATCTCTGTAATACAGACAGGATAGTTGGGTCAAATGAATTTCTAGTTTTAATTGTTGAGGACTCTCCACACTGACCTCCATGGTGGCTGTACTGCTTTGCATTCACACCAACAGTGCTCAAGGGTCCCTTTTCCCTGACAGCTTTGTTATTATTTGATGTCCCAATGACAGCCATTCTCCTAGCCCAGCTAAGGACTCTCATTTAGTGAGTCTGGTGGCAGCTCCTTGTCTCCTCCAGTACTCACCCCACTGCTCTGCACCCAAAGGAGGACAAAAGCAAACTTCCCAGACCACCACTTGGAAATCTAGGGGTGCAGCTCTGCTGAAAGACACCCATTCACCTTGGGCTTTACACTTTTACCAGGCTTTTGGGGAAATCCTCACACAGAATGATTCATAAGTTACTTTAGATAATTCACAGGCCACCAGAGCAGCATTTGAATAAGCTATTCTTTGAGCTGAGTTTTATTAATGTATTGACCTCTCTTCCCTTTTCTGTATCTTTTAATCCAGTGTTATTTGCATTTTAACATAATTAAAGTCTAGCAAAACAAAAAGCCCAGCAAGTCATCTTGTTGGAAGCCAAGTGGTGTTTTGTTAGTGGTGGGGAGAGGTTGTCGTACAGATGGAGAGTCCTTGTCCACTACACAAAGCAGCCAGGTACTACACAGATACAACAGAGACTCTTCAACCCTCTAAGATCCTCTGTGCCTTAGATTCCTGGTGCCTGGGATGAAGAAAGGAATCCAATTCTGAGATGTAGGCACAGTTCTTTAGAGAAACCAGGCATGCTTCATGCACAAGAAAAGGGAGGGTGGCCAGTTCCCCAGGATTTCAGGAGGAGAAGACCATGAGAGGAAAGAAAGGGCAACTTCCAAAATTCCTAAGGTCAAATTACAGATGGAGAGAGGGGTTATCCTCCTAGTACATCAGAAATGAAGGAGCTGAGTCACTCCCTTCTTTTTATTTAACTGTAAACATTGCAGAACCCCTCATAATCCTAAATCCTAAATCCATAACTTTGAAACAGGGAAGTTGTGTGGGCTACCTCCTTTCTCCCCATTAAGCTGTAAACGCAAGACCACCCTGATTATTCAGGTTTGAATTTAGGAAGTCACACTGATTGCCAACATCAGAAAAGAGAGAGGGTGGGAGGCATGTAGAACCAATGGACGTCTGACCCTAGAATACCCGGAGCCTGAGTTACCAAGCCTTTTTTGCCCACTTTACCCCCTCTGAACCTGTTTCTGCTGCTGCCTTGTGATCTTCAATAAATGTAACTACAAACTATGAGGCATATGTTTGGCAATTCTTTCCTTGTCATGCACAAGAACCTAGACCATTTTGCCCCACTCAGCTGTATCATTAGTTTGCTTAAAGTAAAACTCTAAACATGACCCACATGCAGTTGCACCAGAAAGAATCAGCCTTTGGCTCTGACTCTGGCTCTGGCGCTCTCCCTGTTCCAACCCCCTAACAACCCCTCTCTCCTGTGTAGTTATCTCCCTAATTTCCCAAGAGCTACATCTAAATCTTTTAGCTGGAACCTAAAAGGTACCTTAAAGAACGGTATCAATTTTTCTAACACCATCCCAAATGATTCCCAGATCCCACATTTGGGAGCCAATTAATAACAGTGACAGTCCTCTGGTCTTTTAAAACCCTTTAGTCCTAGAACCAGTGACTCAGGACCAGGCTCCGGAAGAGCTTGGGGGAACATACAGTAAAGCCCCGAACGCTTACACGTGGTGAGGGTGAGGACAACATGGATTTCTTCTTCCTCCAAAGGAATTTTCCTACCCTTCCTTCTCCCAGGAACCTCATTCCACAAGGAAAAAAAAAATCACAAAATACTAAGAGAAGCTGAGGTATTGATAATTTTTATTATTTTGCAGAAACAAGCGTAGGGACCCTACAGCTCTGCTAGTGTCTGTGGCCGTCCCCCTCGTGTTTGTGGCTCTCCTCATGGGCTCTCAGAGCCACTTTTACCACAAGTACAAGGAACTCCTGGAAGTTAACTGCACCATCTTCATTGATATCCAACAGTCTGAACCACTCTCTTGCGCTCTTTTTCTGTGAAGGATGAAAGGGGAGAAAGCCAGAGTTAAAGATCTAAAGGAAGTTGAGATATGGCTGTCTAAAGAAGACCACACAGAAGACCAATGTCCTGGGCATCATCAGAACCAGATGGAGAGCCCCCTCCACACCTTTGTGTACTGAGGACACTCCTTAGTCAGCAATTTCTTCAGGTCATCCTTGTAGATGGCGTGGTGGTTTCCTTTCACCTCAGAGTACTTGTGGTAGACAGAAACAACATTGTCCAAGGCCTTCTCCAGTTCAGTCGGCATGATGCACAAGGGTTTGTTCACCTAAAGGTGGAAGGCACAGGGGGCATCCTGAGGTGGGGACAGCGGACTTGCCTATGGCAGTGAGCACTGCCTCTCGTGGGACTCAGACCCCAAGTAATTGCTTTGACCTGGCCTGTTCCACCCAAATAACTAACACCAACAGACAGCTGCATCTTTAACAGATGGTATAGATACAGATCTCGGAGAGGGTGCAACACACACACACACACACACACACACACACACACACACAGTGTCACTAGCTCTCCCTATGGCCCCCCACTCCCTGCCCAAGGAAAGCTCCGCCTGGCAAGTGTCTTTGCCCTGGCCCACTGGACAGTGCTACTTGACTCTACTCGTGCCATAGCCCTGCCTGGCTCACACTCTCCTGGACCCCCACACCGCTCTCTTCCCTCTCGCAGAGGGGGCTCCTCCACTCCCCTGGAGCCTCCAAAAGGAAGCCCAAAGTGTGGGGCAGGTCCGGACAGTCCTACTTACCAGCTCTGCTCAAAACAGAGTTGACAAGGAACATACAGGGCTGAGTGTCGGCTCCTTTTTATAGCGGGTAGTTTGGGCTGGCCTATAGCCTCAGGTCTTGCAGAGTTGCTGTACCCGCTATTGCCCAAGCAAGTAGGTGTGGCAATCACTACCCAGAGTGAATACTTGAGAGAAGTGGGGAGTACGGGAAGCGGAAGAGCTTGATGAAGCCAGGAGGCCATTGCAAGTCTTCGTTTCCCAGAGGGTCTCCGGAGCCCCTCCCTTGCTCCACGAGGACATCATGCTAATCTCTTTTTATGTGACCAGCTAACACATTATTTACACTGAATTTAAACAGAATGCACCATTTTGAATGTGCTCATAGAATATTCTTTCATGGTTCTCATCAACTTCTTGAAAGAACCAAAGATCTCAAAGAATTTACGAGAATTAGTACCGCTGAGGTGTTGTATTTGGGGTGGGTGCTTGGACTCTGTATTACCAAGAGCTAGGTAATTTCCTGTTCGGTATCCCACAGTGCCTCATACCCATTATAGTACTGATGTAAAGGAGGGGGATCCTCTACCTTGGGAGACAAAGGGTAGCTTGAGGTCCTTGTGTGCTTCACAAGGCACTCAGCCACTGCAAGGACACAGCAGGGACTCTTCAGCTCTGTCTGGGGGCCGGGGGTCACTGTACCTCAGACCCCAGGATATGGGCTGAAGAGAGGAACCAGAACCTGGAATATTAAGGGCACAGTTTTTAGAGAAGGCAGGCATGCTTTGCACACAAGAGGAGAAGAGAAGGTGGCCAGTTCCGCAGGATTTCAGGAGGAGTAACCTCTCCCCACCACTAACAAAACACCACTCAGCTTAACTGGCTTTCAACACTGTGGCTTGGTAAAATATTTCTCATAACAATGCATTTTACATCCATATAATCTCATAAGAGCCTCAGAATATGCCTATTAGAAAACCAAAGCATGGAACCTGCCCTGTCCACAGATAAGGAAGCTGAGGCCCAAGAATGCAAAGTGATTCACTCAAAGTTTTCCCCTGCTGGTGTGTCAGAGTCTGGAACGAATCCCCAGTGGCCTGGCTCTGGAAACATGACCTGACAGGAATATGACTTGGCTGGGAAAACTCCTTTCTCTTTCCTTCTTTCATGCAAACGACAAACATTGACCACGTGCTTAGCCGGCAGCTAGGGCATCAACGCCTCCTCATGGAATTGATTAGCCTTGATGCTCCAGGATTATAGAACACTTTGGATTTCCTTGTACTACTTACCTCATAGCTGTGTGACTGTGGACCATTTGTTTACCCTATCTTCACCTTAGTTATGTCAAATATTAAGAGGAGATTAAAAATAGATTATACCTTCAATCCATACAATAGGAAAAATATTTATAAGTAATGTGTCTGATAAGGGGTTAATATCTGGAATATAAAGAACTCTGGGAACTCAAAAAGAACAACACTGGTCTAATAAAAATGGCCAAAGAATTATATATTTCTCCAAAGGAAATATAAAAAAGGCCAATATGCATATGAAGACTCACAACATCACTAATCATTAGGGAAATTCCAATCAGAACTGTAATGACATACCATCTCTCATCTGTTAAGATGGGCCACTGTCTAAAAACATAGAAAACAAGTTTGGCGAAGATGTGCAGAAATTAGAAGTCTTATAATTTGTTGGTGGAAATGAAAAATGGTGTGACTATGAAAACCAGTATAGTCATTCCTTTAAGATAAACAGGATAATTCAAAAGAATTGCAAGTAGGATCTTAAGATATTTGTACACTGATGCTCATAACAGAATTACTTACAATTGCCAAAATGTGGGAACAATCCAAGTGTCTATCAACAAGTGAATGGATAAGGAAAAATAATATATGCTCACAATGGAATATGATTCAGCTCTTAAAGGAAAGCCAGTTCTGACATACACTATAAATGGATGAACCTTGAGAAAATTATTCTAAGTAAAATAAAAGTCACAAAAAGACAAGTACTATATGATTCCATTTAATGTGAGGTGCTTTGATGTAGTGGCTGATTGCCTGTGTCCACTTGAGAAGCTTAACTAAATAGGCTCAGCAATTCTAAACTCTAGAGTGTAGAGAACCCACCCTAGGGCGGCTCATCACCTAGATAATGCAAAAGGGAAATGAGAAAGGACTGATGGGCTTCCAGTCTTCAGAGGAGCTCCATTGTTCACCTTCATCTTAGACATCATCTTGTGGATTCTAATGCAGACTCTTCACCTTCCACCTTGGACCCTTCAGCCTTAGCTGTAGATTCATCAGCCTTCTGCCCCAGACCCATCAGCCTGCTAATACAGACTTGCATGGAACACTGCAGTGAGCTCAGACCTGGCACTGATCCTTGAGTCTCCAGTGTGCAGACGCCCTCTGCAGGCTTCTTCATCCATCTTTGGCCTACCATAGTAAGCCAATCTTTTCTTTTAGATTTGTACATCTTGTGTTAAATCTGTTTGTCTGATAAACCCTGACTTGATGCACTAGTGGAGTCAGGTTCATGGAAACAGAAAACACAATGATCATTGCTAGGGGCTGAGCAGAGTGCAATTGGTAGTCATTCTTTAATGAGAATGGAATTTCTATGATGTGTCTCTTGTTTGTCTGTTTGTTGTTCTGGTGCTGGGGACTGAACCGAGGCCCTCAAGGCGAGTGCTTTCTCTGCTACCCAGATGCACGTCCAGCCTCTAGAGTTTCAGTTTTGTAAGATGAAAAGAGTTCTGGAGGTCAACTGCACCGCTATGCGATTATACTCAACACTATTGAAATGTGTGTTTAAAATGCTGAAGCCAGTAAATCTGATGCTGTCTGTACTTTAGCACAGTTACAGTTTCAAAGTTCTTAAGGGCTTCTGCCTTAAAATGTCTATCTTGTGAAGACTGATAATTAGTGAAAAATATTTAAGAAGGGTACTTTTCTAAATGTGGACTATATTTTAACGAAATTTTAGATGATTCTCGAAATCAACTGTACACCCTCCAGGGCCGGACTGTACCTCTCTGCCGCTTAGCCACAGTGCAGTGTTCAGAGCACACAGCACTGCAAATGCAATGCATAGTAATTCTAGGTGACAGCAAAATACCAGCTGATGCTCAGGGGGCCCAGGCCGTGTGTCAGGAGCTGTTTTGAGTGTTTTAAGTGCATCAATTCTCTTAACCTTCACAATAATCCTATGAAGTGGGCACTGCTCAATTCCCACTGCACAGACAAGGAAACGGAGGCCCACAGAGAGACAGAAGCCTCTATCTCATTCAGATTTAAGTGACTTGCTCTGTAATGCGACAGTATGCACTTCCTGTCCCTGCCCCTTCATCCTGGTAACATCCTCCTTGCCCTCCTGTACCCAACTCTGGTATCCTCCACCTATCTCCTGACTCTCCCTCCTGCTCCCTACCCACACAGGAGAACTCTTCTCCCCTACCCCATCACAGCATCAGCCCCACTCTGTCATGGTTCACTTGTTTATTTTCTATCTTTTCTTGGGGACCAGGAGTCTCTTTAGAAGGGAAGCTACACTGATTCCCATGCCTTTGTGGGAATGAATAAGGCAAAATTGAACCTGTGCTCTTTCCCTTTCCTAATGCAAAAATTCACCGTATCACACCCAGCCATCTGAAGTCACTTTTGCAAGACGGTAGGACATAAATCCATCTTTTAAATGCAGTCTAACTTCCTTGAAAAGAGAAGAATGGACCCCTAGATAGGAAAACAGGCCCCTTTCTGTCATATAAGGTGACTAATTTTCAACCAAAAATCAGCCCACAGTACATAACTGTTATTCATCAGGCACTGCTTTATCTGATTTCGTAGACAGAGCCCTACTTCAAAGCAATACATATTTTCAGTGTGTGTGTATATCTACTGCTTCATTTGATGTTCTAAACAACCTTATAATATGGGTATTGCAGGTGCAATTATTCCTATTTGACAGATTAGGAAACTGAGGCACTGGGCATTACTGAGTCTTACCCTGAGTTCACTGGAGGTTACTGAAGGCAGTGATGAGGGCTAGGCTCCAGCCAGCACCACATGCAGACTGACAAGTGAGACTGTGACCTGACATCGTGCTATCCTAACACCCCAAAGAAGACAGCTCTAGGGCCTCAGAGAGAACAAGAGTCAGGTTAAGCTGGGCTGAAATGGGTCAGTGTTGAGAATAGGGCACACGCACCAAGGAAATGGCAGGATCTGCCTGAACGCTATGGGGCAGCCTAGGGGACTGGAGTCTGGCCCTGCTTACCGGAAAGGGCCTGCCCCTTTGTGTGTCTCAACAGTCCAGCCCAGGATGAGGAAATGACAACAGATCAGGCAGAACTGGTGGAGAAATCCTCGACAAGAGGCTGCAGGGAGATGCAGAAATCTTAGACCGGGGTTCCTGGTGCAGGCCTGTGGAACCCAAGGCTCCTCAGCTGAGCTTGGCAGGAAGGACTCTCCCCCAGGCCCCCCGAGGAGTAGCGACCTGAGTAGCCGGGCTCCACTCTACATGACTGAGGGGCCCCGTGGGAGGCAGCACAGACTCAATCACTGCCATTCCGGTTCATGAACACCCTCCTGCTCTCCTTCCTCGAGTTCCCAATTTTTGGATCCTGGGTTATGTGCCCACACCTGGCTAAGTGTGGACACAGACTGAAGCACAAATGCAGTGGGACCGGAAGGAATCAGACACAGAAGTATGCTCAGCACCTTGGCCTGGTGAAGCACGCCTGTAATCCTAGCTCCCTGGGAGGCTGAGACTGGAGGACAGAAAGTTCAAGCCCATCCTGTGGAACTTAGCTATTTAATGAGAGTCTATGTCAAAATAAAAATAATAAATAAATAGAAGTGGCTGAGGATTTAGCTCAGCTGGAAGACCCTGTGTTGAATCCTCAGAAATGAGCAGTGATCACTTGTCATTCTTTTAAAACCATTGTTTAGAAATAAGTTCAGGGACCAGGGATATAGCTCAGCAGCAAAGTACCTGCCTGGCAAGCATGAGGTCCCAAGTTCAATTCCTGACTCACCCACACCCCATAAAGAAGGCAGCTCAGTTTAGAACATTGGATCCCAGAGCCATCCTCAGA